TGTTTATTAGGATAAGTTCCTGAAGATTGATCAAATCTATGTTCTTCTCGCTCTACAACGCGACAAGAAATCAACTGCGCTCATTGTAAAAAGAATTAATAAAAGTGTATAATATAGTGTATAAAATATGAAAATTAATATTTCATGCTTTTTACAACAATAATGTACAATAATAGTTTAATGTCTTTAATTTTTTAATTTTTTTTAACAAAATTGCACAAAACACACGTTTCTAAAAACGCGTGGACTCGGTGGACTTGAGTCGGAGCAAAGCCGTGAGTGAACAGACATCACGGTAGAAAAAGACACCCACTAGTACGTGTGACAAAAATGCGACTAAATTCAGGTTCAGTAACTCTTCGACGTTAAATATTGTTGGCAGCCGTGCGGAACCTGAAGCAGTTTGCTGTGAAAAGGGGCGTGGTTTAGCCGATCTGAGCACACCATGTAATACTTCCACCATGCGAACAACGACTGCCACGACTTCTCGCGGGCTCGCGTACCCGAGGAGGGAGAGATGCCGTGTATAGGCCAATCAACGACTTATAACTAAGGCAGACCAATCACAAGCGGAAAGGACTGCGCGCGCATGCGAGTGGAGCGCTAATAATGGAGAAATAACAGAAAAGAACTAGCTCGCTAGTAACTGAAATAGGCCATTTCTTACAATAGGGATATCGTTGCGCAGGTATTTTACATGGTGAAAAAGCTGCGCAATGATAGTATAACGATACCGAATTGTCGTTAAAAGTTACAGAATAGGCCTACAGAGAAGCGCAACCGGCTTAAGTCAGTATCGCAAAATTACTAAGAAAAGTACTAAAAATGACGTCTTTGCAGACGAAATATGAAATCCACCAATCGTCTATTAGTCAATCATTTTTAGTACCAATGAATGAATGTCATGATTGGCTCACAGCGAATCAGAATGAGGCATACCGGTTGCGCTTCTCTGATATCTAGGACTCTACAATGACCTAGGGTGTTTACGACAAATGGTCGGATTTCCAATCCGATCGAACAGTGGTACTCAGTTGGTGCATTTCAAAAAAACTCCCTAGCTTAATCGGATTTTGGTGCCTGTCTCAGGAGGTAATCGGATTGAGTTGAACGGATCGTGAGAGAGAAACAATTTTGCGAATTTGCGTATGAACTTAATAAAAGCAGAGTGCATAAAGACAAAGAGATACATACGTTAACTACTATTGTAATAATTATTGTGTATTTTATTCTAAAATGTATATCGATAATGGAAATATGTATAGTATAGTAAAAGTATTCTGGAAAAGTAAATATATAACCTCACTTTATTAATTTTTTATAAAATATGTATAATAAAATATATTTTTGCAGAAGTATAAGATTTGCCAATTTTTAAATATTCCATACAACAAATATATCCATCCTTATATGTATCCTGTGTAAATTAATAATTTATATAGATATATAATAAAATATAAAAATATTTAAATATTTGGTAAAATATGAAAAGATTGTTATTGCAATATCTAGTACAAATTGACGTAAAACGATACAATTAACATTTTGAACTAATAATCTAATAAATAAACCTTCAACAATTTTCTGTAAAATATAATAATAAATACTATATTATTTAATAACTTTCACAAAAAGTAAAAACGTTGTTAGATTCAAAAACAATAATTTCATACAATGAGCATGTGCGGGCACGACTGAAGAATGCGCAACAACGTTGCTCGTGCGTTGGATGCTAGTACAGCCCTTATATAAAGGGTCGGCGTCGAAATAAAGAACAAATAATGCGACCAATTACTCCCACTGAGTTACCAAAAGTATTTTATTGAATAGAACTGAACTGTTTCCTACCACGTCCACGTCGTTGGTCCTGGGTGACGCCGAGAGTAGGCCATACTCACATATACACGCACGCACACACGCACATGCACGCACCCATCCACCCAAGAATGTATATGATTTACTCTAACCACGAAATATGAAAATTTAACATTATTGTCCACCATATTGGATCCGCCATTTTGAATATTTAAAATTTGACTGCAGATTCATAATCTGCGGCCCCGGAAACCCCCGAGTAACAATTTTCAACAAAATCCAATCACTTTTCAAAAATTCGTGCGCCATTTTGAAATTTTAAAATTTTACTACAGATTCACAATCAGCGCATCCAAAAACAAAGAATAAAACCCAAAAATTGAATATTTCGCCGTAACAAACAATTTTATGAATGCTTTTTATGCTCGTTTTCGAAAGTTTATTCTTTTCAAGCGCCATATTGGTGCCGCCATCTTGAATTTTCCAAAAAGACCAATCACCAAAAAAAACTAGTCAAGCATAGCTTCAATATGAGACCTCATACAACTCTCTACGTTGCGTCAAATTTTGGACAGGTGGGGTGTCAAATTTGACAAAGAATGCCCCATATATTTAAATATTTTTTTATATATCTATATAAATTATTAATTTACACAGGATACATATAAGGATGGATATATTTGTTGTATGGAATATTTAAAAATTGGCAAATCTTATACTTCTGCAAAAATATATTTTATTATACATATTTTATAAAAAATTAATAAAATGAGGTTATATATTTAATTTCCAGAATTCTTTTACTATACTATACATATTTCCATTATTGGTATACATTTTAGAATAAAATATACAATAATTATTACAATAATAGTTAACGTATGTATCTCTTTGTCTTTATGCACTCTGCTTTTATTAAGTTCATACGCAAATTCGCAAAATTCTTCCTCTCTCACGATCCGTTCAACTCAATCCGATTACCTCCTGAGACAGGCACCAAAATCCGATTAAGCTAGGGAGTTTTTTGAAATGCACCAACTAAGCACCACTGTTCGATCGGATTGGAAATCCGACCATTTGTCGTAAACACCCCTATATCGATCATATAACTTTTTCTCTAGGGCGGAAACGTGAAAAGTGAAAATTTTTTGCATGTATGTGTGTATATGTTCATACATACATTCATAAAATTTTCACTTTTCACGTTTCCGCTCTAGATAAAAAGTTACATGATTGATACCCTGCAGTCCTAGACATCAGAGAAGCACAACCGGCTTAAGTCAGTATCGCAAAACTACTAAAAAAAAGTATTAAAATGGCGTCGTTTGCAGACGAACTATGAAATCCATCAATCGTCTATTAGTCAGCCATTTTTAATACCAATGAATGAATGTCATGATTGGCTGACAGTCACACCAATCAGGACGCGGAACATCGGTTGCGCTTCTCTGATATCTAGAACTTTACATTAGGGCTGTCTTCCCATAGTCCCTTTGCCAGTCAGTAAAATAATATTACTAGGGTGACGTCATCTTACTGACTGGAGAAGTGTTCCCATTCTCGCCAGTAAAAAGTGACGTCAGGATTTGTTGCGTTTCTATGCCCTATGCTTTCTACAGTTTTCGTTTCATATTACAGTTTGATTTCATATTTTCGTCATCAGTGATCTTCATTGAATAGTAAGTAAATAATATATATTCCATGTAGCAATGTTTACTTGCAACTCTGTAATATTTCGGTACCCATGTCTTAAAATAATTGACTCCGGCGACTAAAGAGGTTAGACAACGATTTCGTTCCGGTACCAAAATATTACAGAGTTGCAAGTAAACATTGCTACATGGAATATATATTATTTACTTATCTATTCAATGAAGATCACTGATGACGAAAATATGAAATGAAACTGTAATATGAAACGAAAACTGTAGAAAGCGTAGGGCATAGAAACGCAACAAATCCTGACGTCACTTTTTACTGGCGAGAATGGGAACACTTCTCCAGTCAGTAGGATGACGTCATCCTAGTAATATTATTTTACTGACTGGCAAAGGGACTATGGGAAGACAGCCTAGATGCATCCAGAAGCACGACCGCTCATTAAGCGCTCAATGAGCTTTTTTATCTGATTGGCATATTCCATTAGATCTAAAAATATTAACCAAACAGGTACAAGAGCTCACTGAGCGCTCAATGAGCGGTCTTGCTTCTGGATGGACTTAGAGTCCTAGATATCAGAGAAGCGCAACCGGCTTAAGTCAGTATCGCAAAATTACTAAGAAAAGTAATAAAAATGGCGTCGTTTGCAGACGAAAATGAAATCCACCAATCGTCTATTAGTCAGCCATTTTTAATACCAATGAATGAATGTCATGATTGGCTGACAGTCACACCAATCAGGACGCGGAACATCGGTTGCGCTTCTCTGATAGGACTCTAGATGCATTCTGTTGTTAAACCATTAAAAGCGATGCGATTTTAATTATTTAGGTTTATGTTTACGATATTTACGTTCGAAGTAATTAGTAAAAAATAGTTGATCGTCAACATCAGATTATTTTTATTCTTAAATTTCACGTACACTTTGTTGACGTATTTTAGATTACGTTCTAAAACGTTGTCTCCGAGGAAATTTTACTCAATATAATAATACAAGTAGGTATATGTTACATGTATGTACTACATATTTCGAGAAAAATTTTTTTTATTTCGAGTAAATTTTTTTTTATACTCTTAATATTATAACATACATTTTAAGAAAATATTTATTTATATTAATACCAGATTTTTTTGAAAATGTAGCATATTTTTTACGAAAATAGCATAATTTCAACAACTTTATATCATATTTTGTCATCGAAGAGTTGGCAACACTGATTGCCACTTGCCAGTTTGTGGTTTGGCATTTGTCGTTGGTCGATGAAGTAGTTCAGTTTGATCTACTTCGTTTTAAAATTGAAAAACTAGTTTATCTAGTCACATAAAAAATTCGTTTATTTGACCAGTTCATTCGCGAACTACCCACATCTATTTAAAAGTGATGATTCACGTATACGAGTCGAGTTCAGTGCGGCGCAAGTATGTATGACGACAGTATAAGACGTCAACCCAACGGTGTGCGAGAAATATTGTAGTTGCTAGGCAGAGAGGTCAGCGCGTGCGTCAATTTCCCTGTTTGTGAATCTCTATCCTGCGGTCGACGTACTCGTTGAGCTTGCAATTTGCACTGCCTTGCAGTTAATTGCTTGTAAGCAGTCACTTGCAGTGTTGAGGTCAGTTGAGATGCGACGAGATTGCAGACAATCCATCGTGTAACACCAATTGAAACTACGGGGTTACCCGGATTACCGTCGCTGACGAAGAGGGAATTAGGAGGAAAGAAGACCAATAATAAGCCAGAACTAAGATGAGATAACAGATGCAGAATGAGACGCAGCAGTAGCGGTAATTTATTCAGTTACGCGGTTCTCACCATCACTCTCGCTCGTCTCAAGGGTAAGTTCATTTGTTACGGAACGTGCGTGTCGCGCCTTTTATTTTTATAGCATAGCACCATCGATTATCCAAGGGTGCCGTGCCACCACCACTGGATATTGTGTCCTGCGTATCTTGTATTTCAAAGCCGAATGCTTAAGAGAGTTGTCAGGAAAAATGGGGCAGGTTCTATATATGTAGCGTCTGCACCAATACAAGTTGTATGTCTAACTCACCAAGTGCGTGCTTGTGCGCATGTGTCTGTGATATTTTCTCAGATATCAGGGTTACATTTAACTTCATTTAATTAAGTCCAATTGAATCTATATTTATTTGTATACAAGACTTTTGAGTTGAACGAATTACGAGCTAAAAGTGATCTTTATATATAAAAAGAAAATAACAAAATTGGCAATTTACGTAGTAAATTATAATTTCATTTATATAATAAACAAATTTTTTTATAGAAAAAAGAAGAATCGCATAAGAAATATGTATAAAATAATTAATAAGTAATTAATCTTGTTAGAGAACTGTTTCTTTTTCCTTCTTACGTTTTATTTCTTTTTTTTTCTCTTTCGATAATACAAGTATGGGTTAATATTTGTAGTACATGCAGAAGGTGGAGTTGCTTGCAAAGACCAACATGGACACTCTTACGAAAGTGGCTATCATTATATTCCTGGACCTGAACCATGTACCTTCTGTGTTTGTGATAATGGTAATCCAAAGTGGTGTAAAGCATTCATTTGTAAATTTCTTGAGGTACGTAATACCAACAGTCTAATTAAGTAAAACTTATTGTTTAGAGTAATTATTATTCCAGCTTCAGTTTAACTTTTAAATAGATTCTTGGGATGATGCTCAGAATATCTCAAATAGATTTTATTTTTATAGTTATATTTGTAATAGTACATTATAGAGTTAAATTTATATTATTTATTATTTTATAGAGGATTGTAAAAATAATTAATTTTAAGATTTCTCTAGGTAACTTTTTATTTTTCTTTTCCAGAACAAAGTTTTTGTGATAACTATATATAGAACATAGTCATTATCTATCTACTTGAAAGTTAGCAGTGTATTTCAAGTTCAACAGTAATTGGCATGTAGTTTGTAGAACTGAGTAAACTTTAGATCAGTTACCACTTTTCCAATCTCTTTGAAACTTGATTTGTATTTTTCATCGCTAAATACAAATCTGAAAGAATTTTTTGTCGATTAAATATGTATAGATCATCACCTTAAAAACTATGTAAAAAAATTAAGAAACGATAAACGAGTTCTGTCACAAATAAAACTAATATTCAATTTATATAATCATTTGATGTTCAATTTGCATAATTTTTAAGGGGATGATGGAGCGATGGCTGAACGTTGATAGTACAAACTATTTTAGTTCCAAATTCGATAAGTGACATCTTTTATTCATTTCTTATGAATAAACATATTATAACGCCGTATTTCGTAAAATCGAGCAACTACTGTTACACGTAATCCTTGGTTTGTTGAGTAAACAAATCAGGGTTGAGCCGTAGATTTTAAGATTACGTCTACACGGATTATTTACGTAAAATCTATGTGATGTTTATATGGTCTTTTTGCTACGTAGACAATGTAAACTATGTAAACTATAAAAATCTATAGTGTACGTAATACAAACTATAGGTTTTTAGTACTCGCAGTGAATAATGGAACGCATCTCATGTATTGTAAAATCTCACTATTGTACAATTTTTAAAGTGATCGGATTCTACAACATTAAAAGGAATGTTACGACCAAAAAAAAGCTACATAGTTTTGTATTTAATTCGATTAGTTCTTTATTCGAGACTTTGTTTAAGAAGTTTGTTGACAGCTCTTTCTTTTTTTTTTGAAGAACATGTAGTTAATGATGTTGGAATTGATAATGATATAATTTTATTTGTTGAATCTATATTATGTAATGGATGAATAGGCAGAGTTGATAAAAATCATGTTTTTTTTTTAAAAGAACAAAACATTGTGTTTTTTTGTCCAAAATTTGTTTTTAATGTATTAAATATGTTTTAAACAATATTTAAAAAAACATGTTTAAAACAGTTTAAAACATGTTTAAAACAGTTTAAAACATGTTTAAAACAATTTAAAACATGTTTTTAAAAATATTGTTTAAAATATGTTTAATTTTAGTTAAACTACTTATTTAATTTTATTTACATTTATTTAATTATTTACATTATTAAAATATCTGATATTTATAGATTACTAGAACATAACAAGCGCGCGCTTCGCGCGCGCCATTAAAATTTTTATTTAATAAAAAATGACATAGTAAAGCGTAAATTTTTATATTTACGATTAATTTTCTTTTTTTTTAACATCTTAAGATCGTTTTGAATATATGAATCGACTATAAATATTGATCTATGACTATTGGCTTTTTATTGACTTTTTTTTGTTAATCATACACATTTATTCTTAGCTGCTCTGATAGAGGCCTTATAGTTATGCTTACAAATATTTTTCTTGGAGACATAAAATGTATTAATAAACATAAAATATTAATAGCCTTTGCATTTTTAAAGTCTAAAGTTATCAACTCATAGATTGGAGATATTTATAAAGTTTTCAATTTCCACTATTTTTGATAAATTTTTGTCTTCACATTATTTCAAATTTTTAAAGCGAACTGAGTAACACTTTTCAATATTCTATTGTACTATATGTATATGTACGTATACATATATGTATATGTATATATAATTTAAATCACATTAAATTAATTGTTAAAGTATATAAATATAAATATTACATATATATATTTATATATTATATATACATATACATATAAATCAAATTGAAAATATGTACATAAACGGTACATTTTTTCTTAATTCAATTGTATTTTGTTTTAAATGAATTACGTTTTTGAGAAGAAGCAAATTATATAAAAAAATGTATGCGTCATTTAGAAAAGTAATACTGGCTCATAAAACATACACATATTGCAACATATAGCTACATATTCATATGACTTTAAAAAATTTTTTATACAAATGTTAATAATTTAACAAAACGTGTTAATTGTTACATGCTTCTCTCCTATAATGTTGAAAATTTTAAAACTGAGGAATTTTTTTATTACACTTTCAGTAAAAAGTGACGAAAAAAATGACAAATATGACATATTTTTAACAATTGTAGCAATTTGTAGGAAAGTCGACAATATCAATTAAATTAATCTTTTGAATACAATTTTTTCTAAAATTTTATTTTTACATACTTATATTTCATCTTTATCAGGAGACGCGATAGTGCCTCCGGCCATGTTCAAAAACTGAAAAACCCTACAAGTCTCTTATCCCGAGCCACCAAGTTCATTTTTGGGGGGTGCATAACTACTAAAATATATAAAATATTGAAACGAACGTTATATGTCCTGAAAGGCGGCATCGCCACGAGTAATTTGACCCAAAAAATTGTAAATCGGTCAAGCCGTTCTGGAGATACAAGCGGTCGAAAAGTGATGATTTTAATGCAAGTATCTGTCTGTCTGTCTGTATGTATGTCCGTATGTCCGTCCGTCCATCCATCCGAAATATGTAACTACTTAACATCCCCTCTCACCTTTTACTCACACCTCCATCATCTTTGACCCGCCGGACTTCCTCCCCCGCCTTTGCATTCTCGCCAGTGTTGCCAGGTCTACCGCTTAGCGGTAGATATACCGCTTTTTAGCTTCAAATACCGCTTTGCTACCGCTCTACCGTTTTTAAATCATCATCTACCGCTTTATGAAAATCAGTTGTCAATTGATAACCGTAGACCATAACTAATCATAATCATAGCATTCATAGTTTTAAATGTCGCTAATGTGCGCCAAATCCACAGAGTGCGTTCGGAAATTTTACTTGCAATGTATAGTAACTTCAAATAACCAATCGAGATAAAGAAATCTTTGCTCCTTTTGTTCTGATTGGTCAATCAAACACTGTTTTACAGACTCTAGGGTTTACGAACGCAGGCATAATGACCAATATCGTGTAATGTCGTCGTTCATTGTGTAGAGCGTAGAGCCGCGAGGCGCGAGTTTGTGAAAACCTGTAAAACCGTTCAACCGTTAGTGGCCTTAGTTTCCCGCAAATGAAAAATTAAAAAAGTCTGATTTAATCAGAAGTTAGTGAAAGAGTTCTTATGAGAAGAAGTAAAACGTGAAAGAATCCAAGATGAATAGGTAAAATATGATGTATGCATGTATTTTAAAATTAGGTTAAGTTTACTGTACCTTTTATTTCTTATTTTATTGAAGCTCTGAGACTGAATGTGAGGTTGATGAAAATGAAGAATCAAGCAGTAATGAATCGGCTGTAAGGTGCAAACGGGCCAAGAAAAAGAAATACTTACAAAAATACAATTCAAATTGGGAAACTGAAGCCGAATATAAAGAGTGGTTAGGTCCTAATAAGAACAACATACATGAAGCTATATGTCGAATATGCAATAAAAGCATTAATATATCTGCTGGAAAGAATCAACTCAAACGCCATAAAGCTAGAACTAGTCATATTAAGGCTATTTCTGTTCGTAAATATCAACCATCGATGACTTCATTAATTAAAGTTCAGAGTTTAAATAGTATGGAGCTATCAACCAAAAAGGCTGATCTGTATTTTGCTGCTTTTGTAGCTGAACATAACGTGCCATTTAAAATAATGGAACACATGCCTCAATTGATAAAACAAATATGTGTCGATTCGGAAATAGCAAAAAACATAGCATGTAGTAGAACCAAAGTAACTGCTATCGTACAAAATGTTATCGGACAGTACAATTTAGAACAAATATGTAAAACATTGAACAACGTTAAGTTTTCATTAATTGTGGATGAATCGACAGATCGTGGATGTACAAAACATTTATGTATAGTCGTAAGATTTTTTCAAGACAAAAAGTAAGTACAGAGTCGTCTTAGATAATAAATTAACAACTTAAGGAGATGCTGGAGTGACAACGAAACTTGATCAATGACGAATAGTAAAAATTGTTTTTTTTTTTCAGAGTGATAGACTGCTTTTTGGGTTTAATACCTTTAAAAGATGCAACGGCCGAAGACTTATATGACAAAGTTACTGCATTCTTTAATTTAAATAAGATACCGTATAAGACTAATTTAATTGGTTTTGCTTCTGATGGAGCAAATGTGATGGTAGGCACCAAAAATTCTTTTTCAAGTAGGTTGGTCTCAGACATTCCGCATATATTTTTGATGAAATGCATTTGTCATAGCTTTCATTTGTGTGCGTCAAATGCTTGCAGTATGCTACCTAGTTCTGTTGAAGAATTAACTAGAGAAATATATAACTATTTTTCGAATAGCCCGAAACGAGTTGAAACCCTCAAAGAGTTTCAAAAATTTGCAAATGTAAAAATCCATAAAATTCTTCATCCGGCTCAAACGAGGTGGTTGTCTGTTGAATCGGTTGTGGTGCGAATTCTTGAACAATATGAAGCTCTTAAACTTTTTTTTATCGATGCGTCTGTTAGTAGCGATCGAACTTCTGCTGGAACTGCTAAAAGTATTTTACAGAAACTTCAAGATCCGTTGACAAAAATGTTTCTTATGTTTCTAGAGTTCGTTCTTCCTATTTTTAACAACTTAAACCGGGAATTACAAAGTACCAGTCCGCAAATTCATAATTTGCATAAAAGAATTTGTACGATTTATAAAACTTTATTGGAGTACTTCATTAAAAGAACTGTAATACAACGAACGTCCATTTTTTTAATAAACGTTAACGATCCACAAAATTATC